AAAGGTCTTGAAGAACTTTGCTGTGTATCCATCAAGTCTTGAGCTTTTCTTAGTTGGTAGGCTTCTGATGGCATCTTCTATTTTATCGCTTGAAATTGATCTGTTTAAATTGTGTATATACTCCAGTTCAGTTTGGGCAAATCATGTGACTCTAGAAATTTGCTGATACCTTTGATATTTTATATTTTATTGGAGTGCAAACTTTCAAAATATTTCTGATTATCTTCTTAATTTCTGTAATGTCTATTGTGATATTTCCATTTTAGTAATTTGAGTTTTCTCTCTCCCTCTCTTCATTAGCACGGCTAAGGACTTATCAATTTTATTTATTTTTTCAAAGAACCAACTTTTTGTTTTGTCAATTTTTTCAATTGTTTCTTTTGTTTCAATTTTGTTGATTTCAGCTCTGACTTTAATTATTTCCTGTCTTCTACTGCTTTTGGTGTTGATTTGTTGTTCTTTTTCTAGAGCTTTGAGATGTAATGTTAGGTTATTTATTTGTTGACTTTTTCTTCTTTTAGGGAATGAACTCCATGCAATGAACTTTCCTCTTAGTACTGCCTTCATAATTTTCCAGAGATTTTGGTGTATTGTGTCAGTGTTCTCATTTACCTCTAAGAATTTTTAAATCTCCTCTATGATGTCTTTTGGGACCCCATTGTTCATTTAGTAGCATATTATTTAGTCTCCAGGTGTTGGAGTAGCTTCTATTTTTCATTTTATCATTGATTTTTAATTTCATTCTATTATGATCTGATAGAATGCAGGGCAGTATCTCAACTTTTTTGTATTTGCTAAAAGTTGCTTTGTGGCATAATATACGGTCTGTTTTAGAGAAGGAGCTGTGTGCTGCTGAGAAGAAAGTGTATTCTCTCATTGATGGATTAAATAATCTATATACATTTGTTAAGTCTAAGTTACTGATTGTATTATTTGGTTCTATAGTTTCTTTGTTTAGCTTTTGTTTGGAAGATCTATCCAGTGGTGAAAGTGGTATGTTATAATCACCCAGAATTATTGTGTTATGGTCTGTTTAACTCTTGAACTTGAGAAGAGTTTGTTTGATGAACATAGATGCTCCATTGTTTGGGGCATATAAAATTATTATTTTATGTCTTGTTTTGAATGGTTCCCTTAAGCAGTATGAAATGTCCTTGTTTATCTCTTTTGATTAACTTTGGCTTGAAGTCTACTTTATTTGATATGAGGATGGAAACCCCTGCATGTTTCTGCAGTCCAAGTGAGTGGAATGTTTTTCCCCAACCTTTCACCTTTAGTCTGTGGATGTCTTTTCCTATGAGATGAGTCTCTTGAAGGCAGCATATTGTTAGGTCTTTTTTTTTTTTTTTTAATGCAATCTACTAGTCTATGTCTTTTGATTGGTGAAATTTGGCCATCAACATTCAGGGTTATTATTGAAACATGATTAGTATGATCTGTCATTTTGTTTATTTTTTTGTATTTAACTTGACTTGGTTTCTCTTTTCATTGTTTTTTCCCTTTAATTATCTCCTCATGGAATATTTTGCTGAGGATGATCTATAAAGTGCAGGCTTTTGAATTGTAAATTCTTTTAACTTTTGTTTATCATGGAAGGTTTTTATTTTGCCATCGAATCTAAAGCTTAATTTTTCTGGATATAAGATTTTTGGTTAGCACCTATTTTCTTTCAGAGCTTGGTATATGTTGTTCCAGGATCTTCTAGCATTCAGGGTCTGGGTTAAAAAATCTTCAGAGATCCTAATTGGTTTTCCCCTCTGTGTGATCTGATTCCTTTCTCTTGTGGCTTTTAAAATTCTATCCTTATTCTGTATAATAGGCATTTTCATTATAATGAGTGGGAAGGGCTTTTGTGATGGCTGCAGAGTCCCAAGATGTAGGTGGAAGTAGGCCTGGGTTCAATCCTGGGTCTGCTGGTAGGCGTGTGGCCCTGTGACTAACCTTGTGCTTGGCTACTATGTGACTGGGAGGGGTGGTCCTAGGCCTGGGGCTTTGCTTGAGGTGGGTCTGCTGGTCAGTGCGGTAGTCCTGGGCCAGGACCTGTGCCTTGGTTCCTGTGTGGGTTGGTGGGGAGGTTCTGGGCCTGGGGCTAGGGTCCGGCATGGGTGTACTGGTCCTGCCAGGATTCATTCTTCAGGATGCCCTAGCACTCACCTGAGGCAAAGGTCATTCAGAGTGGATTTGGCAGTGTGTCACGGTAAAGAAAAGTCAGAAAAGGCCAGAATTAGCTTTCCACAACTATCCTTAGGTCTATTTTGGCATGAAAAACATATAAACTGCTGCAGGACCCTCCAACAACTCCTCTTGTTCCCCATAGTGTGGGTAGAGGTGATTTTGCAGAATAATCTGTATTATGGATAGCTTGGGTCATGGCTAAATAGAAGAGTATTTGGAGACTAAGAGGAGTCTGCACTGCCTAAGGGAATCTAAGTCAGGGCAATTTAATAGTGGAGCACAGTCCTCAAATGAGGAACCTAGACTATGAATTAATTAACCTCTAGGCCTTTCTTGGCTTTTAAAATTCTATTAGAGGAAGGGGTAGAAATAGGGAATTTGTTCAATGGAGCTAGTCAGCGTTCTAAAATCTAGTAAGGTGGCTTTATAGAAAAATCCGGTTAGTGTGCTGTTGAGAAAAACCAGATCAAAGGTAGAGAAATAATCTGCATTTCTTTGTAATTTTTTCAAAGCCGTAACTACAGCCAAGAGAGAAAAGTTTATAACAACCAAAACTTAAAAATGTTCAAGGTTTAAGCTTTGTCTGTACTGCTGCTACCTGCTGAGAAATTTATAGAAGACCTATTAGACTTTCTCTTTCAACCTGCAAATGTGACTATGGCTAGAGATGCCATGCTTGCTCTTCATGGAGAATCTGGGAAAGTCTTGTTGTTTATTTAGGGTTACTGGATGAAGCAAATTTCTGATTTGTGTTTGTAGTACTGAAGGCTCTTATGTAGAGATCACAGTGATCTCTTAATTACTTAAGAAATTTATTTGAAAACCTTACACTCTGCTAGGTTATGGGCCAGTGCTCGGGAGGAGCTTGCTGTTCAGTAACCCGGATGTCCTTGACAGAAAGACACCATGGAGATGAACATGGTGATGTAAACATTTTAGGGTAATATTGTGGTTGAGTCTTTCTGGACTTCCAGGCCTCTTGCAGATCTCTGCCTCCTTGTTTTTCTTCAAACACAACCTGGGCCAGGTTGTGTTTGAAGAACACCAATACATTTTTCTCAAATACAAAGATTGTGTTAGTGATACACATTCAATAGAATATGTACTTTAAAATGATTGTAGATTAGTTAAGCTAGTGCTATCAACTATAAAAGATAAACAAAAAAAATCTTTGTAGCTCAACATAATAGAAGTTTATTTCTGACTTCTATGAAGTCTGTATGTGACTAATCTGCTGAGGGTTCCTCCAAATTTTCATTGAGTTTCCAGGTTCATTTTTTCTGTTGCTCCATAATCACTAATGTCTCGAGTGAAAAATATGAAGGTGATATGTGAGAATTTTTCTTATAGGTCATAGAAGTGGCACATACTATTTCACTTAAAATCCATTGGCTTGAATATAGTCTTAAAACCATAGCCACCAATAACTAAATATAAGGAAATGTTTATAAGAGGAAAAGGAAATAAATTTGTTGAATAGCCACAATCTTCCACAATTTTCTAGTCATATTACAGAGTACACTGATCGATTTTTACTCTTCTCCTTATTTCTTCTCCAATAAATAAATTTACATAAGCAGGCTGGTAATGGTTAGAAGTGGAGTCTAGTTAAATCTTTTTCTGTGAAGAGTTAACTTGATCGTATGAGGTTGGCTTTGGCCTCATTAACATCAGTCTTTAACTCATAATCCTTCCCTTTTTTGAATTACTGTAGTATTTTTAATGCTATACAGGCATATTTAGGATTGAAAGGTGTGTGTGTGTGTGTGTTTATAAATAATCTTGAATTGTCAAGATGTTTTTTGATAATTACGAGTACTAGTAAAACTAAAAGGCTCTAACCTATGAGTTGAGATTTACAGGCATGCATATTTATGGTCACACAGATATTAATTACAATATTCTTAGATTCTTGCAGTCTGAAAAACTTTTCTATCAAAAAATCAAATATAAAATAGCCATTACCAGGGTCAGGGGACTTAGGGAAGGGGACATTGTTGTTTAATGTGTGTAGAGTTTCAGTTTTTGAAGGAAAGTGTCAGAGATCTATTTTGCAACTGTGTAATTATATATAGCATTAGTGAAGTGTACACTTAAAAATGATTAAGATGGTAAATTTTATGTTCTTTTTTACCATATTAAAAAATGTACTACTACAAATAATGAGTAATTAATACTTTTTTTTTGAGCTGAACAATGTTCTTAGCTTTATTTTAACCATTAGGAGCTACTTAAAAGAAGTAAAACCCCATCAAGGAGCATATAATATAATCGGTGATAGATTAATATTGACAGCTAATTTACTGGAAGTGTATTATATAACAGGTATTGTACAAGACATTTCATATAAATTATTTCTAATTATCAATAAAATATGGGAAGATAAGTATTTTTTTATCATATCCTTTCCTTTTTATTTTATTGTTAAAGAAGCTAAATTCTGTAGATATGATGGTTTAGTACCTTGCTGAAGGTTGCAAAGTTTCTAATCTTGGATCTGGTATTTAAACTCAACTATCTAGCTTCAAAATCCTTTTTCTATATATTACATCATGCCTCTCATTACATAAAAAATAAACTAGTAATTTGATGCTTTATACTTTGGTATTTGTACTGTCAATAAGTATTGTCTATTTTATTATAATTATCCTGGCAAAATTGAAAGAAAGGATAAATTATTTAATTTATAGTAGCAGTTAATCTGATTACATTTTAACTTTAGATAGACAACCATAAAATTTTTTGTTGGCTCAAATTGCTGTCTCTCTTTTTGTTTTTTTACTTTTGGGAACATTAATTATTTTTCCCTGTGTCTTCACATACAGGTTATGTGGGTATGTAATTTGTGCCGAAAACAACAGGAAATCCTCACTAAATCAGGAGCATGGTTTTATAACAGTGGATCTAATATACCACAGCAATCTGATCAAAAAGTTCTTCGAGGACTGCGAAATGAGGAGGCGCCTCAGGAGAAGAAAGCAAAACTGCGTGAGCAGGCCCAATTCCAAGGACCCCCAGGTGACTTATCTGTACCTGCAGTGGAGAAAAGTCGATCTCATGGGCTCACAAGACAGGATTCTATTAAAAATGGGTCAGGAATGAAGCACCAAATTGCCAGTGACATAGCTTCAGACAGGTAAACATTTTGTTTAATCTTTAGGTGAATTTATTTTTCTTTTTTAAAATTTTTTTTAAGTTGTAAAATGGAAACGATACCTTTATTTTATTTATTTATTTTATGTGGTGCTGAGAATCGAAACCAGTGCCTCACATGTGCAAGACAAGAGCTCTACCACTGAGCTACAGTGCTAGCCCAAATATATTATTCTTAATCCTCATTCCAAACAGAAATAAAAAAAAAACATGGAACATATTATAAATGTTAATATTTTACATAAATACTAAATATGATATTCAGGACTTGAACTATGATAGGTTTAGACAATCTTATGTTTGATGTGGGAGTGCTATCAGATTTCCCAGATAAAGAAGTGAAATAGATACTTTTTTAAAATTCTAGTCTTTCAAGATGCTTTGAAGTATCATGCTGAAGTCTTGATTTGTATTTCTTGAATAATGGCATAGGACATTTCTTCTTGTATTTTTTAACCATTCACATATTTTCTTTGTGAAGAGTCTATACCATTTATTTTTTTGCACTTAAATTCCTGAATTATAAGAGTGATTGATATTCCCTTTCAAGCTATATGTATTGTAAATATTTCTTCTTGAAATTTCTTGAAGTATAACTTAAACAGTTTAACAAATTTTCAATGAAAAAAATGTTTTATTTGGATGATGTCTAATTTGTTATTATTATCATTAGTGGTTTGTGTGTCTTGTCTAAGGAATCCTTACCTACCCTAAAATGTGGAAGGTGTTCCATTTAAGTCCTTCAAGAAGCTTTATAACTTTAGTTTAAATAAAGATAAAACAATATTTTCTTATATTTTTCCTAGAAGCTTTATAATTTTAGATTTTTACATTTAGATCTATTATTCAATTTTGGTTAACCTTGTGTGTGATCAAACAGGAAGATTTAAATGTCTTTTTTTTTAACATGGATATTCAATTGTTTCAATACCATTTGTTGAAAAGATAAAATCCTTTCTCTACCGAATTGCTTTTTTTCCTTGTCAAAATCGTTAACATTTGAGTGGGTCTGTATGTAGATTTTCCATTCCATTTCGATGATCAATCTGTATTCTAAAACCACATTGTTTTGATTACTGTAGAGTTATATTATCTTCAAACCAGGTAGTCTTTAACTTTTTAAAAAAGCTGTTTTAAATATTCTTTTTAAAAGCTGTTTTGGGTATTCCAAGTATTTCTGTTTGAAGTTTAGAATCATGCCATAAGTATAATTTAGACTAGTGTTCCCACAAATGCATGACTTTTTACTTAATTCACACAGAAATGTGCCTGCCACTTCTGAACATTATAAATAATATAAAGTAAGTTTCTTATAAGCAGCATATAGTTGGATCTTGTGTTTTAAGTCCATTTAGTCTCTGTCTTTTGAATAAGTTAACCCATTTACGTTTTTGATAATTGTTGAGAGGTCAGGTCTTATTAAAGTCATTTGGTAACTTGATTTCTAGTTTTATTATTGTTCCTTTTCCCTCCTCTCTCCCCTCCTCCTCCTCCTCCTCCTCCTCCTCCTCTTCCTCCTCTTCCTCCTTCCTGGTTTATTTAAATTGACAAATGAAAATGGTGTGTTTTATTTATGGTGGGTAATATGATGTTTTGACATGTACACTTTGTGGAATAAGGTAAATCAAGTTATTTGACGTGTATTATTACCTCCTATACCTATTATTTTTGGTTATGAGAAGACTTTTAGCAGTTTTCAAATATACATTATTATTAACTATAGTCATGATGTACAATAGCACTCTTTTTTATACTAACCTTTAATGGGGTTCAGTGTGATATTTCCATACATGTACAGTGTGCACTCTTTCCTTTCTTATAATCTTCCTTTGTGGTTAATTGATTTAGTTTAGTAGAGTGTTTTGATTCCTTGCTTCTTCTTATTATTATTATTTTGGTTTGTCTTTTATAGTTTTTTGTTTTGTTTCATTTTAGGCTTACAAAAACATCTTTTGAATATTACAAGCTGTTTTGAAATATATCAATATATCATGATCATGAAGATAAGAAACAAAAGAAAATGAAAATGTTTTACTAGAAAATTCTATACTTTGATTACTTTCTGCCTACATTTTGAATTTTTGATGTTCCATTTTACATTTTTCTATATTGTCTCTCTCTTAGCATATTATTAATGTAGTTATTATTTTAATTGTTTTGTTTTATAGTCAACTAAAGATATGAATAATCTATGTACTATGTGGACAATAGTAGAATATTCTGATTTTGTCTGTATAGTAACTCTTACCAGTGAGTTTTATACCTTCTGATGTTTTCTTCTTACTCATTAATTTCTCTTTCTTTCAGTTTAAAGAACTCCTGTCATATTTCCTCTAGGACAGGTCTGGTGGAGATATATGATCTCAGATTTTTTTTTTTAAATCTTCTTGGTTGGTAATTTCTCTATTCAGTACTGTAAAAATCTTCTGCCTTCTCTCCTGTCCTATAAAGTTTTTACCAAGAAGTCTGGTACCAGGTGAATTGGAACACTCTTATGTCTTGTTCCTTTTTGTCCCCCTTGCCTTAAGAAACTTTTCTTTAACTTTTGAGAGCTTGATTATAATATATCTTGGAGTAGACCTGATTGAATTTAATCTGACTGGCAACCTTTGACCTTTTCTGCTCTGAACATTTGTATCTTTTTCTAGGTTGGGGAAGTATTCTGTTATTATCTCTTTGAATAGACTTCCTTATTCAAAGACTGACCTTTGGCAGTCTCAAGTCCCTTTTGAACCCCAATGACCTGAATATTTACTCTTTTAATCCTGTCTCCCAATTCCCTTAAGCTTTTTTATTCCCTTTCGTTCTTTTTTTCCTTTTTACTCATCTCTGTATTTTCAAATACACTGTGTTTGATCTCCCACGTTTTTTCTTCTGTTGTTTTCTGCTATTGATGCCTTTTATTGTGTTTTTAAACTTGCTTAGTGTATTTTTCAGTTCAGTAATTTTTTAATTTTAAACTGATTCCATTTCATTGTTAAAGTTTCTCTGTAGGAGTATTAAATCTTCTTGATTTCTAGTTTTATTAGTGTTCCTTTACTTTAAATAAGTGTTTAAAATTCTCCATTCAAGAATTCACTCATATTCTTGGTGTATGGCATAATATTTTGGCTGTTAGGTAAGGCCATGGGTCCTGAAAGTTTTTGATATTTCTTGGTATGTGACATCATCTATGCATGGAAAGATTAGGTATTTATTGCAGTCTTTGAAATCTTTGTGCCTATATTTTCAGAAATTCTAAACAGGGTGCTTATTTTCTCTGGGCCTGTTGTCACTTCTACTGTTTTGGCACCAGATATGCCCTGTCTAGATTTGCCATGAGCTTGTTTTTGGCATGCTGTCACTTTTTCAGCACTAGAGGGTGATTCAAGCCCAATTTTGTTCCAAATCCATGCTGTTGTGTTCAACATGAACTGGGGGACTTTGTCTCTAAAAGCCTCTCCCAGGGGCTGGGGGAGTTCCAGAGATTTTGTCTACAGTCATTAGCCTCTGGTCAGGCACTATGGAGGGATTAACTCCAGGCTCTTATGTTATGATAGTGCTCCTCTTTGGTGTCCTCCCCTAAGCAGACACCTATTCTCTCTGTGTTGTGCTGCTTGTGTCTGTGGGAGAAATGGTGGACAGTTCTCTAGCCAGAAATGCCACAATGCTGTATCATGCCCTGAGCCCAGCCCACCAAGACCAGTGCAACACCAAAGTAGGACTCATAGTACTATGAGCTGCCCACTTCTGAGGTGAACTATTGACCCAAGATCATATCAACCAGTTACAGGTGATATTGACTAGAATAGAAGTCTGATAGACTGGTGCTATTTATCACCCTGCTATTGGAGCTATTCTAGAGGCTTCATTCTTGGCACTGGCCTGGAGATGGATCTGTTAGAGTCTGCCTGATGTTAGGTTTCACCAGCCTGACACTTACTTCCAGAGCAAAATCCTTTGCTTAGTCCCATATCTAATCTTTAGTGGATAGAATATTGTTCCTAAGGTTGAGGTAGTATTAGTGAAGGCAGTCCTTTAGCCACTCAGGATAAGGGAAAGTTGGGATGCACCTTATTCTCATAGGTGCAAGTACCTGTACATTCTCAGATATACCTAGGCCTATACTGCTGCTGGCAGTGATGCAAACCATAGACTCATGTCTATCCCACGAGGAACAAGTCTTTGCTTATTGCAGGGTTATGTCTAGAGGCTCTGTCTGTAACATGATCTGTGTATAGTTAGGACCTTTGCTTTTTATGCCGAAGTCTGGCTTGGCACAAATCAAGAGCCACTTGTCAAAAAGAAACTAACTTTATTTTTAGAACTACAAACGCCAAACAAAACAGCTCCAGGGAAAAACCCTCAGAGCCCAACTGCCACCACCGGCTTCCACAAGCCTCTCCCTCCCACACCAGCCTCTCAACCCCCCAATCCTCCTCGTCTTGAGGCCGATTGGCTGGGTTGCGTGGGCAGAGCCAAAGAAGTCACCCAATGAGCAGCTCCGTGGAGGAGCCAATCAGCTAGATGTTGCTGGGGCCGCTGTGAGCCAATCATCAGCTGGCAGTCTGAAGGGCAGGGAAACAGCCCAATGAACATCACCGCAGAGGAGCCAATCAGCTAGATGTTGCTGGGGCCACTGTGAGCCAATCATCAGCCGGCAACTGGAAGTTTGCTGGCAGCTGGATCATCAGCCGGCAGCTGGATCATCAGCCGGCAGCTGGAAGTTTGCTGGGGCCCCTTTGGCTGTGGCTCTCAACAGCTTTTTACTGGGCCTTGGTCTCACTGTGGTTGACCTGACCCTGGGCTTCAAGGCAAAATCTTATGTTAACTTTTGTACCTTGCTTCCCAGCAGGTATAGTCTTGTTCCCTGCTATACTACCTGAGGTTGGGGGAGAGATGGTATAAGCAATCCTTTGGTCCCTTAGCTAACATGGTTCCAAAGGCTCAATCTGTGGATGCTGGTTTGGGTCCTGATTTATGGAGCCATGCCCAGCATTAGGT